ACGAACTGATTGAACGAAAAGGTTTTTACTTGTGATAACTAGGCAACCAATACACAGTCCAGGTATAACAATCAGGTCGAATAGACAGTCCAGGGTCACCGCCGGTAAACAGGTGTAGCCAGGGGATTCAGAACTCAAGAGGTCCAGGGGAAGCTCAGAAAGTCGGTACACTGCAGGTAATCAAACACTGGAAGGACATAGGCAATAAACGGTCGTCAAAACAAACAATCCAAGGTCAGAAACAGAGTCAGGCAAGGTATGGATGCTGGAGAGTCAGAGCTAGAGTCTAGAACAATCTGGCAGGGATAGGAGGGTGAAGGCTGCTTATATTACGGTGCGAACAGGTGCAAACTATCGGGAGCAGGTGAAACTAATGTGATTAGTGAACGTAAAGTGACCGAAACAGAGGTGAAAAAAAACAAAACAGGAAGTAACATAAAAATAAAAGCCTGACAGGAAGCAACGGAACCGAATCGTGACAGTTTTGTTTTAGCATTTCTTTAGCAGTTCTTGGCTGTCGGTGCACTGGCTTCTGCTGATTGACCTGTTACGGACTTGTTGACAGACTTAGCTGTGTCTCAACTGCGCCTTGATCTAAAAATATGCAACTCTGCTTTCAAGACTAAAATTGACATGTTGATTATGGAAAGCCTTCTTCGAAACCATGCTGGAGAGTTTAGTTATCCAGTATTTTTTTTTTTTTACTGTCAGGCTGCAGCACCTGTTTGTCAGTGAATAGGTCAGTGTATTGTAGAATATAAATCAGTGAAGGCTTGTTGTTAATTAAAATATTTTTTGTTCATTTTTACAAAGAAAGCTACAGTAGCTACACAGACTTGTGTAAAACTACAATGCTAAATCTTTTTCCAACATGCTGGAACATTTACACACTGTTTTCAATAAGGACCAGATTTCACATCATCACCACTTATCACAAGAACCAGATTTTTAATTTCACCCATGGTTCCCCTCTTCTCCACAATTTTTCTTCTGTATAATTGACTTTTTACACATTTCAGCCATCTCTGGTCATCCCCTGCAGGTTATGTAGGTACCCCCCCCACCTACATAGACAGAAAGCTCTCACATATACTGTAGCTTTCGGTACATTAACAGTTATTTTCCAGAGGAACACTTTTGGCTTCAGGGTCCAGGTGTTTCTGCAACAGCTGACCCATGTTATCAGCATGCCTCAGCAACCAGGCCTGCTCCAAATTAATCCTGACGCCATCATGTTACCTCCAACCCCCCCCCACCCCGTTCTCACCCTGATGCTTCCCTCTCTGGGCGACAATTCCCTCTGAATCCTCGGCAGTTGGGGCTCAGACATTCACCCGTATTTTCCAGTCCCACGAGACACTTCTATTAATCAAAAGGGGAGACGGGGGGACAAGGATTACAGCCAGTGTTGCGTTAATTATAAGCTTTTTTTAATGAAGGGGAGGTAGGGGCTGTGAGGCCAGGTGGATCAGTCACACAAAACAAATCCGATTATCCAGGAACAGTTTGTTTCTCTTTTAGGCTCTCCATGCTTGTCAGTCTGTCTTTTGCAGAATGATTTCCCAGCTCTGCGTCAGAAAGCAGAGACATTTGTTTTTAGTGTGTGCTTCTGCTCCAAATCCTTTTTTGCTCTCATTTGCAGATGCTGTTTCTCAAGGGGGTGTAGTTACATTAAATTGCCTGAGGATTGAGGACCTGAAACCCAACCCATTAAAATTCTGCATAAAAAACATGAGTGATGTCCTTTCACGTAAAGCATCTTCCACTTTTTTCTTTGGATGCTTATTATAGTCTTATCAACCATGTTCACACCAATAAATAGAAAAAAGGTTTCTCATTTTGCAGCTTTTGTTTTGCGCTAACTCTGAAAGCTCTTTTTATGTCTTTGATGAAATATTTATGATGTGAAAAAAGTCAGAATTATGTGGCTAACAATACAGTGGTCTGTAGCTCTTTTTAAAGTATCACATCAATTACTATTTTTTTTTCTCTAAAGGCTAACGATTTACTTTGAACAGGAAATGTGTCCATGAGGAAATAGTGCATATACATGAAATTGAACACTTTTTGTATGTTTAAAGCAGCTTTGATGCGTTGAGGATTTCTCTGTTAAACATCAGGGTCTGTTAACATTAAAGTATATCAATTTATCCTTTGGAAAGTGTCTGTCTCTTACTGATTGGATTGTTTTGATAAACATATGAGAGTGAGCAGCAGTTGTTCGCGATTCTTATTCTGGATCAGACCTTTAAGTTCGAGCAACATAGCGGGGGAACTTGTACCATATGTTAACACAGCTGTGGGCTTCAGCTTTGACTTGCTTAATTGTTCCTTTCAGATATTAACCACTTACCGGGAAATACTGTAATTTCGATGATTTAGAACCTTGCAGATTAGGTCTCAAACTAAACTATAGTTAAATGTACTGAAGTAAAGATTTCCTTTCTGTCATAGTTTTTGATGTAGCTAATTGAATTCAGAGATGCTGCGGCTTGTCCATATTTGGTGCCGCATTTTTTGCTTTTTTCAAATTTACCCTGTCTGATCACATTTGTTTTGTAATTAATCTCTGTAATTCAGCAATCTTCTGAAGTATCATGCACTGCCAGGCCAGAAAATTCACTGATTCAATTTCTAATCCAACCCAGAGTTATTTTTATAAGCATTCAGACAGTGAATAAAAGAATATGTCACAATAAATAAAAAGATTTAAACCCAGTTGCCCAATTTTGTGAGAAAAAGGATATTCAGGAGTCGATGGATGGAATCATTTAAGTGATCCTTGTGCAGTGAGGCTGAGTGGGCAGGACTGACTTACAATTCTTCCCTGTCGTTATCACTGCTGTGACCCTGTCAGCTTGCTTAACTAGCCGTACCACTGCACCTACAGCACATGGAGGCAGGCAGAATGAGCCATAGTATGTTCGGTGCCACAACGATAAACATGCAGCTGATTGAGTTCATAACCCCGGCTTTAGGAGCAGCTGCTTCAGCTGCCAGAGTGTTTGAGGTGCTGGCACAGTAGAGATACTTCTCTCTTTCAGATGCTGCCACGTATAACATCTTAACAGTCTGGGAAAGTGATTTTCAGTTTCTGGCACATTGGAAAATATATGCCCTGTTTAAATGATGTGATTATTGGCAAAGCTAAATTTGACCTTTGTCTGAAGTGCAGGGGTAGATGGTGATTATGACCAAATATTTCAACTTTGATCTCATCAGCCCACATAATTTCACTCCTTAGCATACTCCAAGCATGCTGCCTCATGTCTAGAAGTAATCATTGGCTTCCTGCATGCTTTTCTCCCAAACAATCCAGCCTTGTGCAGCTTGACTGTGGACGTAGCTCTTGAGCGAGTTTCCTAGCGTTTGTTTCAGCATCATTGAAAACCTGTGGATCAGTTTGAAGAAGGCTGTGCATAGCAGACAACCAAGCAGACATGGTAGACTTGGAACAAGTACGCCATGAAGAATGGGCTAAAATTACCCCTGAATGGATACATATGCCACTCGGAATGTACCCAAAGAGGTTGGAGACAGTTAGGGAGGACATACAAAGGATTAGAGAACATATCATAAAGAGGGATGCAAACCCTTCCACTGATATAATTTTCTTTTTATACACTCCCTGACCATTTTTGTTACTTCTGTCAGTGAAGAAACAGTTTTACTGGCTGAATGTGTGTTAAATATTATGTGGAGAAAAAAAATCTTCATTTTACTCTTTTTGCCATTTCAAAGTAAGAAGATGTTTACTTTGGCCCTCAACTGTATAGATTATAGATAGAATGTTCAACTTGTTTTAGCACTCCTACTCAAACCCAGAAAGTCTCTTTTCTTACAGTTTATTTTGACTTCTTAAAGGTTGTATATATTTTATGTACACAACAGCAACTACTGCATTATCACCGAGATGCAGAAATCCACAAGAGGCAAGAAAACAGTAAGAAGCCACATGCACTTTGACTGTAATAGCAGTCTAAAGTTGTGATTGAATAAAGATTAAATGAATTGTTTGTCCCTACCTGAAACTGCATGTTTGTAATTCACTTTGCTTCATTCACCAGGAGCAACTTTCTCTATTCTTATTTGTTGGCCTTTATTTAGTTAGTTGCCATCAGGAGGAGGACAAATGCAGCTACAGAGACAAGCTCATTTGAGCCACACCAGAAGAGCAGTGCAAAAACTTAAAAGCCTTGGGAAGTAAGGTTTGGTTCAGTGCAGAGTGTGGCCAGGAAGGTCAATTATGCTGAGAAGGCTTAGAGCTGGGGCCACTGATAAAGTGGTTGATGACGGATGAGAGACAAAGGCAGAAGATGTTAAGAGAATTGAAGTTTCTTCTGGATGAGCTTTCAGAACAGGCTTGGATGGAGGGTTGACAGGTAATCACTGAATGTCATATGAGAGCAAAAACCCAAGCTACAGCTCTTGGACTACACACTGGTATTTGATATTGCCCTCACAATGTGACATAGGCAATGACATATCTGTAAGCCTTGCAGCGTTATGTAAAATTCGCAGACAGCATTGCTAATATGATGCATAACTGGCATTGCCCATTCCATGTATACAGTAACTGGAGCAAGTCTAAATTTGTGAAACAATCATCTTTTTTAATGCACAAAAACTTTCCCTGAGATCTCACTGCCAAGATGAAGAGTCGAGCAAATAAGACAAAATAAATGAAAGAATTACCACAACACCACCACAACAAAGCCCTGTTTCTGAACCAGTGTGTGCTGATAGTGTAAAAATGAAAGGATGCTGCCTTTAGGTCATGCATCTTTATGAAGCCTTCCTGCAGCTACACACTGTCATTCATTACTTTTTGTCGTTTGTAGCTTTTGAACCTCTGTGATGCAAGGTGGCTATCAATACTGCTTTGGATGAAAGAATTTTAATCTTGATTGTGTTACTGTGTAAAGTGTCAGATTTTACTCTGTATCAGATGTTTTCATCAGTCTCTTTTTCTTGTCTCTTTTTGTCTTCCTCTACCTTAGACCCTGCAGCTCAGGCTTGTGCCAACCCTAGCGGGAACATCAGTGGGTGGGCACTTGACAAAACCAGCACCAGAGAATTAATACCAGTCAGTGCTGCTGAAGGTGTGACTCAGCCCCGGCCCTCTACACACTGATCCACACAGGATTAAGCCACTGTATGATGCGTCAAGTGGAAGACCTGGTGCAGCTGATGTACTGTTCCTGTCAGACTTAACATCTTTGGAGGCCTTTTCTGCCCCGCTCCTGTCTTGTGTAAACGGACTAGTAACAAGCCACTGCACCAACCGGATCACCCACAGGGATGACTGACAGTCATCTTGGTCAGGTACAGTGTAAATGGCAGACAGTGTGAGATGTAGTGCAGTTAAATGTCCTTTCAGTTTCGACCACAGTTGTTTATAGAGACAGTTAGCCATTTCTGGGTTTTTATTCTATTGGTTCAGCTAAATTATTTTTTATATTTGTGCCAGTGTTCAAAGTGTGGCTTTGAGGGGAGGGATCTTTTTTGCAGAACTGGCAGGGGCAGGGGACAAACAAAACAATGCTGTTCCTGGTAGTAATTTTGTACTGTACAGTATTTAAGCTTATTGAGACCTCCAGATTTAGGCACAATGTACAGTGTCTGTCACAACTTTAACAAACATGGACCATGGGCCACTTCTTGAGGGGGGCAGAGAGACTTCATCCAGCTGCCACGGTTTCTAATACCACAAGGCAAAATAAAAATACTTCTACATACAAGTGAATATTTGTGCCAAATTTGACAAAATTCCCTCAAGGCATTTCTGAGGTATTGCAGTCACAACGGTGGAATTGACATGAGGTGATCTAGTTCTTTCATTATTTATTATCGGTTTCCATTTGTTCATTAATGATGGAAAGTCCAGTTTTTAGGAAATGTATGTAGGTATGCTTCAGAGCTGTCACCATCTGTTTAGCTAGTAAGACCGGAAAGATGTCTTTGTTACAGTTCTGAATACAATTTCACACAAGGTGTCAAATTAAATCAAGAATAAAAAGAAGATAAGCATCAATATTCTTAAATTTATTGCCCGTATAGTGACAGATGAATGCATCTGTTCCCACCAGTCTGTGGCTGAAACAATACAAAACACTGTGTTGTGCATTGTATTTCTGATTCCTTTCAGTGCTGTCATGCTTATTTCTGCCAATGAAAACATCTGCAAAAATTAGCTTGTTTGGATGAGGATGGATTTCTCTTTTTATATTGCCAAAATCAATCAAAAACAATTACATGCACCACAATGTGGAGAAAATACTTGCAGCTGCGTTAACCTCAATATACTGGATGCAGTACACAGTGAACAGCGCAGGGATATGAGCAGGAATTTATGCTGAGAATGTGAAGAGACACCCAGCTGGTTGGCTGCATAATTGTGTGGAAATCCAGGGAACAGGGTTGCTTCTCTGGTAAATGCACTGGGATCAAATGTCTTTGTTTCCACTCCAAACAGAACTGGGTGTTTGGCTTATTTAAAGAGAGGCTGGAGGATTACATGGTGATTGTTCAGAGTCTTGGCATACCAAATTAGCTCTTGCCATTCATTTGGAAAGATCTAATCAAACATTAATTATTGTGACCACCTGTGTAAGGGAAGGCTGTGGAGTGTTGCTTATCTGTTCCCTCATGTCAGCTGCAGGGTCTTCACTCTGAATCCAGCAAGTGAGCCCCAAACAAGGAGCACAAGAGACAGAGAAGCAGACTGCATTCCATCAGATCATGGAGTATCCAATAGGATGCACAGCCGAATCTGAGCAACACTGCTGTTTGCCAGGTTTTCTGTGGCCAGTCAGAGTCTGGCATTATGCCTTTGACCCAGATATTTAGCAGCTTAAGAGCTTTTCTTTTTTAAGATTTTCAGGATAGCCTGTATTTCCTCCTCTACTGCTGGCACAGACTGAATGAGCTAAAGCCTGAGCTGTATGAACAAAATTGCAACTAACTCTTCAAAATGATGGGCTTAAAAAAAGAAGCCAGACATTTGACTTTTTACAAACATACAGTATCTAATACAGGGGTAATCCCAAATGTTTCTCTTTGTGTACTTTGAAAAACAATACTGGAACACCTCCAAAGATGTGCCCTTCTTGTTTTCATTGCTTGTTTCTGACCATGTTTTGCAGTCAGATGTGACATATTCTGTCAGCCTATGGAGAGAGTTTCTTGTCCCATGAACAGAGAAATTAGACTGGCTAGAGGGAGGATGTAATCTAGGTGCAGTCAGGTATGGCTTCCAGAGCCGTGCAGCCGGAGAGGTTGGCCAGTAATCAGTAACCAGAGGTGACTATTGGGCACTTGGCTATGGAAGTGGCAGACTACTCTGCTCATTCATCCAAAGAACTGCATTTTCCTGCCAACACAAAATGTGGGAAAATAGAGAGAAAGACCGCATTGTAACTCTATGACTATTCTTTGGCTTGACAGATGTCTAATAACACCACATGCAAGCGCTTGTATAGTACAGTAGGTGTGAAGCCTGTGCTGCAGATTGGTACTGACAACAGATACAAACAAAAGTTTAAAGTGTTTAAATTCCAAACTCTCATCTTGTATTTGCACTGAGTTTAAAAGCCCCAGCTGACACAAAAGAGAGCAAATCACCTTTGACTATAGAATAAGACATCAAACTCAGAAGAAAACTGGACAGTCCATCAAAAGCTGGGCATCTGGCAGCCCACTTCAGGGCTCTAGGCCATCTCCACCCTCGTAAGTCTTTCTCATTAAACAAATTTTGCCCCCATCAAAACAGATAAAGCCACAAAGTCAAGATCTAATGTTCCTGAATGAAATCAAGCAAAAAATATCTTAGAACATTAGCGCTTTCACAGACACACTGTGTAAATAATCTTAAGTCTCAAATGCCTGCTCAGCGGTTAATCTACCATCAGATCCTCTCTGTGATACTTAATTATCTCACAAGAAAAATTAAAAATAGAATTTCATATTGTCATGATGAAGTTTGCGATCAACTTCAGCACATTAAATATAATTTATTTTTGGTGAGATAACACAATTAGTACAGTAGAAGTCATCAGTTACTTCACAGTTAGAGTTGAACTCTTTTATGTGAAACAATTCACTGTTTCATGTGATTGCATTTAATGTTACGTTACAAGTTTTGCTGTGCATCAAAATGTGTTTTTGAGTTCTATGACTGCAAAATGACAAACTGCAGGGACTGCTCTGTCAGATGATAAGCCAATAAAAATAGATCTTACAATACCCAAGTGCTACAGCGCAGCAAAATTTCTTCTTGGAAAATGAAGCACTGGAGTCATGAACATTAAACATCAGTCTCTTAAAACATCAGGTGTTACAGATTCAATTCCATATTCATTAATGTTGCTGTTGGTGCAACACAATTAGAGACCTAGTGAATCCAGCACTAATCCCTAACACTCCTAGGACATGAATCACAGTAGCAGGAGATAGGAATAAATGAGGTGCAATAAAAAGGTACTAATACCCTGTATCACACCAAGCTTAAAGTCTTCCCTTTCTTCACTACATGTTTCCACTTCTACCTTGGGAGGATGACATGCTGAAGTTCCTCACACTAATTATTTTTGGTCTATGTGGGAGGAGCAGCAGGCATGCCATCTCATTTTTATCATTTTATGCAGGATTTTTTTTTTAAATTTTAATTAATGAAACACTATGACACCATTCACGTGTCAGAGACTGTGATGCACTTTGTACGGTGACTCTGAGTGTCATTTTTCTGAGCTGGGACAGTGGGACTCTTTTTTTTTTACATAGCAGCCTCAGTGTCTGACACCTTCTCCACCTTTCCCATATTTAAGAGCTACACACAAATCTGTTCCACTGGTTTCTTCCGGCCCACATTTCTGACCATTTTGCCAAGTGAGTTACTGATGAATTTCATGTTCTTCCCACAGGAGTAAGAGAGGAAGCAATGGGCTGGACTATGACTCTAAAAGATGACTTTGGGGTCATTGCCTGGACACGGCGAGCTGAGAACTATCTCATCCTCTTCCTGCTCTTGTCTCTCTTTTCCATCCCAGTCCAGTCAGACATTGTGTTTCCTAAGGAGCACCACTTCTCATGGAAAGCAGGTAAAATGTTGACTTATTCTTCTTTGCTATGCTGTAAATGTGTTAATCGCTGTTTTGAAATTCTCATCATCCTGGTCATATTGTTTTTGTCACTGGTGCGAAATCATAGTAGTTATACAACTGTTATAGTTGCTCTGTGTTTGCCAGGATTTCTTTAATCTGTTATCGTGCATTTATTTTACTTTTCTAATCTAAGCATTTAACAAGATGAACCTATCTGTGAGTGCATGCGCACACACACGCACACACACACACACACACTCAGTTCAGTATATATACACACACCAGAGACAGACAGTCATTACAGTTTCTCATTATAGCAGAAAAATATTGTACAACCACATTCATCTTCAGCGCAACCAGTTCTGTGGTGAAAACTATCCTCCTCTTTCTGATACACTTTGTGTGGAAGCGTAAACCTCAGGCTGCTGTGGACATCATCAAGCTAGCAGGCTGCTATGCCTGGCTGGTTAGTATAATAATACCTTCTTTCTGGCGGACTATACATCCCTAGCCATGTGGTGGCGTGCAGGGCTGGGATTTTTACTGTAATGTTGTATATGCTTTGGGAATGTGACACAATTAATGAGACATTGGTGGACAGTGGTATCCTCTGCTGTGGATTTATGGCCCAAGTTATAACTAGTTGACAGGATTTCAATAAGCAGCATGCTGCCAACATACATGTTTTGTTTCATGAATGCCAATGCTAAATATACAATATAGATTTTCAAAATGTTTTCCAAAAGTTACGAATACCTTTGTACACTATGCATCCATGCAGTGAGTCGTCGATGGAAAACTGGATTCAAGGCTTGCAGTATGTTCCCTTTTAAAGGGAATTTAAATTAAACTCACAATTCCTCCCTCAGTCGCTTCAGAAATTCAATTGAAAATGCATTTCCAAAGCAGCTTGAGGAAGAAAACTTGGCCTTCCCACACAAAAGCCCCACTTGCTGTGCGATTAGCACTTTCATTTCTCACTCTGTGGTTGGGTAATGACACTGCCCAAGTGATAAAGAGATTGATTAATTTCACTTGAAAGAGCGTATGTTCAAGTAGGCTGGAAACGGGACACCAAGTGTGAGGATTTGACATCCTTGCGGGGCTAAGATGGCTTATGAGCTGTTGCTTAACTGGAAATGAAAATCACTTTAAAAACAAGAAAGGAAATCTCAACCTTAACACACCTCACCTCTAAAATTATCTTCTTAGTGTCTGTTTGACTCCAGGGAAAACTGAGGGACCATAACAACTGGTACCACACACATCTGATGTTAAATCTAATAACACAAGAACAGACAGCTGTGTGATAGTTCTGGTATAGTTTAGTTTAAAATAGCAATCACGTGAGACTCAGTATTATGTTCATGTCAGCAAATATTGGCTTAACTTACATATACAGTAACTCCCAATGTGCGGGCGTAGGTAATTATGGTGGTGGTCATGATATATTTGAATACTTTATTTGGCTGACAAGCTTCCTTTTCATTTTGGACTTGTCAGTGTAGAGAAGATGCGCTCTACATTAGGCACAGCCACACTATTGTGTGTTTGGTGTGTCTATCTAGGCCAGCAGCATTGTGGGGTAAATCTTTTGTGTGAGCCAGTTTTCAAAGCTGTGACTAAGCTTGGGAGTCTGTGGCTCAAAGAGAGAGCTGGAGCCATTGAAACTTGACCTTCATCAGTGTCTTGGAGAGCAATATAGAGCGCTAAAATGCTGCAGCTAATGGGACTATTATTTAACTCTTTAAAGTGACTGTTCAAAGATAATCCCTTTAAAACAGCTATACTTGGCCTTTTTAACAGCCATACATGTACCATTAACTCGCATCACAGTGAAAAGCAGTGCATAAGAAGAGATGATGAGGTGGTGATAGGATTTATGAGGAACTGTCAGGCATTTTGCTCAAACACAGATGGTAGAAATCAGATTTCTGTGTATTTTTAATGTAAATACATTGGTAAGAAAAGCATCAGAGCCATCACAAGTTATATGTACTACATGTGAGCTGTTTCCCTCTGCAAATACCCTCACAACACATCAGTGCTCTTGACTGGTAATGTGCATTCCACTGCACATGGTTTGTTTTATTTAATTAAATTAAGGTTGGTTTACTACTGCAGATTGCATGTAAGTGTTGGAGAAATTGATTTCAGAAAATTATGGCGTACAAGGGAATGTTTGCATACTCTAGCTTTTGCCATTTAAATTTTGTTTTTGAAATTCAAAGGGTAATACACAGTCCTACCAGCTTCTGGATGCTGATGCTCTCTGAAACAGAGTGTTTAAATGGGATTTATTTTGGTTTCCAGAGGCATCTGCATTTTAAACATGACAGCAAGACACTGTGCTCATCCAGTGTCAGCTTCAGTCATCTGAAGCAAGTAAGATCTTCTTTCCCAGGGTTTTGTTTGTCATCTTTGAGGCAGTGTATTTGAAATGTATTATAATGTGTTTAAAATGCTGGGATTCACCTATCAGAAGGTATTTTACTGTTTAGCAAACAGGAAAAGAAGAGCTTTTTTTCTTACATAAAAGTGAAAGCTCATCCCAGATGGGACTGTACTGAACATCAAAGCATCTTTTTTCTTAAAAACAAAGCACTTTATTATAACTGTTATTTTCCTTTTTTGACTGGGGAATTCAACTAATTTTAGTGAGTAAGGTATCTTTATCTCTGAAGAGAAAAATGTATTATTCAAACATAATTCTAATAATACATTGGAGACTATACAGCAAATACCATGATTAAAGGGAAGCATTTGTTTAGAGACTATGGAGTTTTTAATTTAGCCCTGTTTGTTTCATTCATATTTCTTCCTGTTTTGGATTTAAAAAGACATTATTTTATGTGTCGCTGCCTGGAGTTCTCTAGAGATTTAAATAATTAAGCTGTCTACAGTTCATCTAAATTATGTGGAAACTTTCAGCTATTAGAATCAACCGAGGGGCAATAATTTGCAAAAGACTGAGAAATCAATAAAGGCTTTCCTTAATGAGAGGAATCACAGCTCCTGCTGGATTATTCAAAGAGCTTACGGGGCTGGAGTCCCAGGACCTGGTTTTATCTAAGGCTTAATGACTGCAAGAAAAAATGAAGTCATGCGTGCAATGATACAGTGAGGCAACGTTTACAACTCATTTCAGGGTCTGAGTATATTTATTTTCAATGTCACTGCACTGTTGCACCATCAAAGCTGAAATCAAACATCACTGCAGCAGTGAACTTGGGTTGTTTCTGAAAAATAAGCTCAAAGTAGGCAGTGTGTGAGGGGTGTGCCTAGGAGCATTTCAAATTTAATCAGATGGTACTGAATAATTCACAGAGGCCTTTTTTTGCTTTATGATGCCAAAGGAAAACAAAAATCCCTTTAGGAAAATGTATTTTCGGTCAGTTAGCTTCACAACATAGGCTGTCGCAGTTAGATAATATCTAGTTATCCTCATACTAGTTTTCTCTTGCTGCAAAGGTGAGCACACCATGTTGTCAAATGTTACTTCAAACTTCAGTCTTTTAAGTTATGATCGATAGAAATGTTTTATAAAAGGAGGACACACAAGTCATTACGTACTTGATGGTTCAAATGTACCAGATGAGAACATCTAAGAGAGAGTACAACATATTTTTCCTGCAATACATGAGGAAACACTGGAAACTACAGGTACACCTGGCCCCACAGCTGTGTAGAGACACCACCCAGGAAAAGGTGACACGTCAGGGCTCTCTCCAAATTCTGTAGGTGCCTCAGCTACTGGCTGCTGTCGAATATCAGATCTCTCAGGTTGGATGAAGTCCTTCTCCAGTTCCAAATCAAAGAGAAACACAAGGGCCTTCTGCCTGACCGAGACCTGGCTAGGCGACATGGACCCGGACCAAGTAGTCAGCCAAGCTCTCAGTGAAATATCTATCTTATGATTAATCAGTGGAGATGCACAAGTAATCACACACATTCTGCTCCCTTCATCTGGAATTCATTGCTGTCAGTTATGGACTATTCTACTTTCTTCCAGAATTCCCCTCATTTATAATTTGATTTGTGTTCACCCTTAGGATAATGCTAATATATAAATCAATTACCTGGCTATGTCTCTTTTTTTGAAAACTCTTACCATGACACAAAAGAACTTTGCCTTCAGTTTTCCAGAGACTGTGGTCACAAAGTCATTTGAGCATGTCATTTTGTCATACCCGAGAGCCCGTATAACCCCTTTTAATGGATGAACATCAGTTTGCTTACCAAGAAATCTACTGAGGATGCAATGCAATGTACCTTGTACTCCACCAAGGACTGCAATGACTGGAGAACCTGCCACCTGTGCTTATATCCTGTTCACTGATTTCAGCTTCAACACCTTAAATCCTATAAGGCTCTTCGGTGGACTTAAACATCATCCCCTATATATGTCACTGGATCTGGAGGATCCTGTCAGAAAGGAGACAGTGGGTTAACATGAACAACCTTTTATCTAGCCTTTAAACCTCAGCACTGGTGTCTTACCACCTTGGCACTTCACCTTATATATAAACAGTGTGAAATCCTAGCACAGGTCTGTAACTATTCTTAAGCACAAGTATAATAGAATTCATAGCCAAAAACAATGAGCACAGTTACAAGAATCAGGTAACTCAAGCTGTCAGTGCCACAACAATATGTATGGGGATATGTACATACACAAAGAGCCAATGTACCACATTCAAATTCCTTGTGTGTCCGACACACCTGGCCAATAAAGCGGATTCTGATTCTGATTCCGATATCCTGCTTAAAACATCCAAAACCCAGGAACTGGTCATTGATTTCCAGCACAATGCCCTGCCCAAATCTCCCATACACATTTCATACCCATTATAGACTAATTTTAAATTTCTTGGCACACATGAAACCAACACACTGAAATGGAATATCAGCTCAGATCTGATCATTAAAAAGCCCAGCAGAGACAGTTCCTCCTCAGACAACTTAAGTGAATCTAAGTGAAAAGCAGAAATAGATTT